AGTGCGCTATGAAAATGCAACCCATTAAAGTGGTGCAGGGATGAAAAAATCATGAGAACTTGATCAGAACCCTAAATAGGAACTTAAAGGCGAACCCTTGGACTAGTAGGAATGATTCCACGGGGAAGAGGTCCGTACCTACCTAGATCACTCCAGCTTCGTCGCTAAAATTGCGCGGTTAGGGCGCTAATCCTTACGGGCCTGCAACCATCGACTCCGATTCCAACGCTTCCCACCTACATTGCTCGTTGAATTCCCACTTATGCGACTCCCGTTAGTGCTGCCCTCTTCAACGCTAGCACTCTTTCTGCTGAACGGCTAGAGTCAGACGGCGAGAGGGTGGGCGGGCAGCGCGCGAGCAGCGCATATACGGCCTTTCTAGGCCGCTGGGACATAATCTTCGCCGTGAAACGTGCATCGTGGCGTGCTGTCAGACAGCCTGCCTGCCTTTCGACTAGCAATTTCTTCCGTTCTTCAACCCCCGACCTTACTGTGGCACTCTTTTGGATGTTCCTCTACGGAAACCGCGTGATTCAATCACCGCCGAAATCCAGTGGTGTGAGACGCATGCATCATGATAAGAATGAAAAAGACGGCGGACTAAGTGAGTTCGACTAAAGAGCAACTAATGCAAAAATGAGAGAACTACTAGTCGCTCAAATTTCTGATAACAGATAGCCCAGATAACACTACAAAACGCTGAACCACCAGTATTTTTCTCCTGCATCCTTATCTATCACACTAAAACGTGTTTTTTAGCCATCCTCAAATTTGCAAGGCCGATTTCAGTTCCTTCTCGCGAAGCGTCACACAACACTTGTCCACTCCACCATGTACTGCCCGCTTGACCCGCCCAGGTGTCTGTGAGCTGTCCGTGAAGATCGTGTAGCCCAAAGCTGTGTTTCGTCTCGGGAACTGAATTTTCATGCATGTAATTTTGTTTACCGCAACTAATGAGTACACTTGACGCATTTATGCGAGGAAGGAGTACGGAAAGTTCCCACGAAGAAATCATTTTCGCTTTGGCAGAAGTTTTCGCCCACGTTTTTTTTTTCATGGAGAAAAACTATGCGGGGAATGGTAAAACCGATATTGTCAAGTGTTCAAAATGATGACGAACCTTCCACAAGGAGGGATCGAGTCCTCTGCCAACATGTCTGTCAATCAAGTCACGGCAGAATGCGCGGAACACCATCTCCTAAACAGAGCGATATTCTCTTTTCTAAATTTTATGACGTATCAAAAGGCACGGATCACGAGGGAATAGGTCTGTCATTTTGCCCGAACATTGGACAAGAACTACGATTAGGAACGTTGGTGGGAAGAGAAAGCAGAGATCTCCATGAAATACCGTAATTTTCCTCGTAATATTGGCTGTGGTATGAAGGAGAGACACAGCGCGAGGAAGGAAGCGCGAGAGAGCAGTCAGTAGGCGAAGGAGGAAGGGTGGCAGACGCATGCACACAGCAATCCGACTACGAAATAGGAGCAACGGTCAGCGGTCAGCAAAGCATTAATAACTTGTCGTAGCCTTTTCATGGTGGAGAGTCGCAGCACTATACCAGCCGTGTGACCTAAGTTTCTCATACCTCACTCGAGGAAAGAACTTTCTCTAAAGATCTACTCGCGAACCGTGCCTTTAGGTCCGAGAAGTTAACACCTACATTGTCATAAACGTTTGCAAAGATGTGAACAGACATTAGCAGAGCAGTACCTTGTTTCTCGAACCTATAAGTAGACTATAAAGTAGAACTAACTAGTCTAAAATTTCCACACCTATAATAACTATCTTTTAACCTTTCACTTTTCTGGACATCATCTGGAGTGAAATTTTCAGCACCTTTGAAGTACTTGCGAAGATCTGGATGGTGTCCAAACAAGCTAAAAAATCTTAAGCCAACTTTCATATAAGATTGGACTCACAGTAAAGATAAAAATTACTTACTATTTGTAGATGTCCTTGCCATTTTGTACCTCATTTGGTCCTCTACCAAGTGGCACGACTTTCAAAGATTCCAGGCAGGCACTTTTCACGTCAGCCATTCTGAGAAATACCAAAAGTGTGCAGAAGAAATGCGAGCGTAAAAAGGGATATAGGCATATGCTAGACAGTGGAATATCTTATACGGACGATAGTGGTAAAGGATGAAGCGTGCGTTTTGCGTCGATTAGCCCTTCCTTGGGATGCGCCACGCAGTTTACTTCCACGCAAAATCGCGGCCGCATTTTTAATAAATACTATTTGGCCCATGCCATGACTTGGGGTGGCTGAGCAAAGGATATCATCGCTTACCCAATTTCACCGATACCCAATTTGCGTGTCGTTGCTTTTATACTTTCAGAAAGTAAGCTAACTATTGATTAAACCGGGAGTTATGGAAGGCTTTATTGGCCTAGGACGGTGCACAATTCAGGAATTGATACTACGGCCGTGCATATGGTAAGCGATGCATCTTGTCACTGCCCATTTTTTAACCATTACGGGCAAAGAAACTCTTCAGGAGTGTGCCCTAAAATCAAGCTGTTGTGGCTCTTGCACAACTACAAAAGTATTGGCGATAAGTCGCATGGGGATTGTAACGTTCAGTAGGAGAAGGTTAGCTGTGAGCGGGATGGTAACATTGCAAGACGTTTCGATATGCTTTCAGGCCTTTGATAACGACGAAATTGTCGAAACGTCAGGCATAATAAAAATTCCACATAAAAAAAACCTGTATGGCACAACAATAACAAGAACACTCATGAAGAATGCCAAGGTTTCAAGAAAGACGGACATGGGGACTCCTACGACAGTAATGTTTCATTCGAAGTACCGTAACTATGTAATAGGAACTCTCAGAGGCTCATACTTCGTATATGCAAGGGCGAACGGGCGGTGGTTGAACTGCCAAGGGGCTCAACTCGCGCAAACTCCAAATAAGAACCAAATTTGCCGAAGTAGAGACGAAACCGCTGAATTTGAACACTGTTGGGAGCCGTCTCGGAGCGCCTTTATACAGTACAGGGAAGGCGGTCCGTCCCTTGTTTGTCGCACTCGTTTCGAGATTGTCACGTTGACAGCAACAAGCGATCATCACTTTTCGTGGTATAGTCGCTAGGTATCGGGCTTAACAAAGGTGTTTCAATTTCGTCGCTTGCAGCGGCTGGGCACTTACTGTAAGAAGAACTGCTCATGAAAGATCTGTCAGATAACTGGGCCTTCTTGCCATGAAAGCCTTTGTTGTGGCTTTTGAACATCGTCTAGGCCTCTTCATAATCAATGCTTGAAAACTGCGAGAGTATTGCAATCGATACCGTTTCTCCTGAGTTGTGCCTTTGCGCGCAGAGCGGTTCTTCAGTTCTTGTGCCCCTTCATCAACCATTCATGCGTAAAATCGTTCTACCTGTAACTGCGACACTGTCGCCTTCCGTTACCTTCCGGTTGCATTGCGCTGAAAATACGACACAGGATGTATGCTTCTAACAGAGCTTAATTTATGCGTGTCAACCTCATTCGGTAAAATTTCCAGGTTCATGGAGTACACATCAAATCTACCGTATCGATACCGCACTTTTGTGCTGGATCAGCCAGAGCAGAAGGCGAGGCTTTGAATGGGCTAAGATTTCCTGCACGCACATCTAACAATTTGGCTTGGAATACGGTAGAGAGAACACATGCATTCAAAGAAACAGTCGCACTTCACGATTCTGGAGCTTCCTAGACAGTTTATTATGCCGCTATCAATCATGAGAACATGTATTTGGAAAGGCCTAATCACATGCTAAAGCGTACAGCCAACTAGGGCGTATCGACTGAGAATTCCTCTCCTTGTACCTTTTGATTGTACGTGTATTACATCAACAAACAACGAACCGATGCAGGACACTGGCTGGACCTGTTGGCGATTGAGCCTCTGGCCATGCTCCCGCTCATTTACCTTTCTGACCCTGGATGGAATTTGTACGCGTGGCGCACTCTGAAAGGATTGATCAGAAATGACCAGTGACTCCACTCTCGCATCAAACATCATCGGAAGGCGCCAAGTTTCTCGGAAAACCGAGACGTCTCTGATGTTCAGGATTGATTTACACTGAACGAAAAAAAGGGTCATTTGTAGTACTACCACGTGAACGAGTGGCAGGCGTTGAGCACGTCTGTCCTATTTTTAGAGCAATATATGAATGAACACAAAGTTCTCACGAAGCCACATCCATTAGAGACGTCTTAGTTTTCCAAGAAAAAGAAGTCATCTGAAAAACCTAAGGTGCGTACTGGTTAGCTTAATAGTAACGCATCGGACAGAGAAAGTGGAAATCTAATAGAACAATCCGGATGTGATGATTGTAAAAAAAGTAAGAGATCCAGTACATTATTTTTAATTTCCCATGAAGAATCGGGTCGGCCAATAATTACTGGCCGAATTTTGTTCCAATTCAAATTTCTTCATGTCAGATTAGCTTCATAAAGGAAATAAGTTGATGTGTCGAAGAACACATCAGGACTTTCAGCCAGAACGACTGAGCTCAACAAATGTGCCTTACGACCATTTAAGAAGAACCTTGCAAGGAGCGCGGTAGGCAAGATCAGCGCTATGTTTGCCCAGTCTTTGCTACTGATCGGGCACTGAGCTATTGGCTCAATAGCATCGGCAAAGAAGATAGGAGCTGCAAAGTTCGACCTCATCATGGACCTCCAGTCACTTTCGATGAGGACCGCTTGCGCTACGAATAGGAAGTGCATCCGACGCTATTAGCAGGAAACTGTAGCAAACATCTGGACGCAGCCTACGCTCCATGAGTCGACACCTGAATGGAATGGACTGTAGCAGAATGAAGCTCGATGGAAACAGCATGCATCGACTGACCATGACCGAGAAGCACGCCTGACCATCTGCAGAAGTTTCATTCTTGATCAAATTCAAATTGGTCACCACTGCAGATGAGTCACGAGTCTACCACGATAAAGAACGCGGCACTCCTTGGCACCAAGATGGACCCACCACCTCAACCAACCAAAGCCCGAACTCTTTCATCAGATCCTCCCCGGTTTTGTTGGATTCGCTGGGTATCCCCTTTTGAGGAACCACTTCACTTATGCAGACAAGCATTGCGAAGGTAACCATGGAATAGCTCCCAAGTTGGCTACAGCAGTGCGGGAGAACGGTTGAAACGTCTCAAAATCTCCTTTCTCCGAAGGACCGCCCGAAATCACATTGCAAAGATAACTCGCCACGTTTCGAGGGAAACTGGCTGGACCACGACACCACATCTGTCGTATAGCCCTGACATTGCTCCATCGTACTATCACCTCCCAGCTCCCTGAAGCAGCAGCTAGGAGAGAACAGTCAGTAAATACAACCACCCCATAAACGATCTCTCCGAGCTTGTATTGAAAATTCTAATCCCGCCCCCCCGCCGCCTAAAAGGTTGAAGAACCTTGCGTAGAGGGATAAAACCACTAGATTGTATAACAACAAGAAATTGCATAGGGAGATTCGTTTATGTAACTGTAGTGAGTAAACGTACCGGAGGTAGAGGGGGGGGGAGAAGAGAGAAGACAAAAGGAAATTCTGCAAATGTCGCTAATTCTGCAAAATTTGATGCCAAAAGGGGTGGACAATCGTGGAACGTCGCCAGTTTGCACAACTACCTTGCGCAAGCGCGTGAGCATTTTGGTACCAATTTTTCCCACCAACTTCTTGCCGACTTTTGTCCAAATTGTTTGTGCTTATTCTATAGGTCATACATTAGCATACTTAAAAACCACGTGGCTCACAGAAAGGCCAAATATTCTTCAGTTTGGCAGACGTTTTCAAAGACCTTACGAAAATGTCTGTTCAGTTCATTCCTCGTTTCTTCTCATTGATGTAAACACGTAGATATAGTATGGTAAAGCTATCTCTGAGCCTCACTTGTTGAACACTTCTCTTCAGAATTTATCGTTGATGAGGCACTTTTTACCTCGCTGCTCTGGCAGTTTCTGCATAACTATAAATTTTCAAGCATATTGGAACCACAAAAAAATGCAACAATACATATTGATTCACGTTGAACACTGACCAGACCGGTACTTTTGCTAAAGGAAGCTTACACAGAAACAGTCTCTAAGGACCACAACGTTAAACTAGAAGTCACCAACACCAATTCACGATGACAGTAAAATGATGACCACCTTACCCTTAGGACAGTCGCTACCCGAAGAAACACACTGAGACTGAGCAGTACGTGACTACTTTCACAGTACTCGCTTATATCCACCGTTAACTTATTAAGTCTCATTGCCTCCATGAGCTCCTCTCTGTTGTTTATTTCTGGAGACAGTCGCTTGATAGCGAGTGCCTCTAGCAATTTTCTTTCCAAGGAGCTTCCTTGAGCGGTGGAGCACAGTGACTTTTTCGGTAGGAGGCGCTTCTTGGCGAAGTGTCCGATGTCGCGAAAAACCACTGTTCCGGATATGACCAAGGATTTCTCAACAATGTTCACCATTCCTTCTGTAAGCGGCCTCATGGTTTCTCCAACGTACTTGCGATCGCACACTTCACAAGTGACCAAATAAACGGTCCCTTGTAACTGGCAGATCTTCTTATCCGTGCAGTACGAGCAGTTTCTTCGACCACACTTCTCTTCGTAGAGCCTCGATGACGTGAGCAAGCCTTTGATGTTCGTTGGTGGGCGAAATATTGGCTTTAAAGGAAGGTTCGCTGATTTCACGACCTGGTTCACTTTCTCTTCAATAACCTCGTTTACATGTGGTAGTACCAGTAGTAATCCTCCAGCAGCAAAGGCAGGATGAACGTGGTTCACTTATTGTATAACCGTTTTCTTCCACTATACTAGAAAAACTTCACTCAGCTTGCTGATTCTCGTGTGCATATCTTCCCTTCGTCGTTGTAAGATTCTGTACGACGTTTGCCTTCATATATAGTGGATGAGCACCGCAAGAGTGCAGGACAATATGCTGGGAGACGAGTTTCCTACTATTCAAACTTCTTGGTGCCATGGTTCTGAAACCTTTGTGTTAAGGAAAGGGAGAAAGCGTGGATACTCTACCGTAAGGCTTACAT